GGGTGGGGCGGCTTGGGAAGCGGTCGGGGCCAGCGGCTCGGCTGGACGCCATCCTCCGACACCTCTCCCCGCGGCTGGGAGCAGTCCCTGCTCCTGTATCCTTTCTGATGTGGGGCGGGAAGAAGGGGAGTGGGGGGAGCGGGACATTGGCCCTGTTTGGGTCGGGGCTCTGCTTCCCTTGCCCCAGTGAGCTTTGCCCGTCGCTCCCCGCACCCTGCGTGCTTGTGTGTGTGCGTGGGCACAGCAGAGGGGTTTGGCGGTGGTTTGCCCTACAAGGACACCCTGCCCGGGGAGGACACGGGGACAATGTGTGTCCTGGTTATGGGGTGGTGACGTGCAGGGGGGGCTGTGCCCCATGCAGCCCCTTGGCGAGCGGGGATGCACCAGGGCAGCGCTTCCCCTGGTGGCCCCCACTGGTGTTTTGGGGTCAGCACCCATCCCACCCCAAAAGCCTGTTGCTGCCTGGTGCTTTCTCCCTGAGCTTCAGCCCTGCAACCTGGGATGTGCATCTGATGAGCCATCCTCCTCTTGGCAGCCCCCCACGGCACATCTCCCCCAGCACTGAGCAAGATGGGGGGGAGGGGGGGGGGCTACTGCCCTGAATTTTCCTCCTAGAGATTCGTGGATTTGGGGGAGATGAGCTCTGCAAGTCTTAGCAATTGCACAGCGAGTCCCAGACTGTGGTGAGAGGTACAGACTCGACCGGTAGAACAGCAGCAGGAAAAACACGGAGGTTTGGTTTGTGAGTGGGAAACAAGGTGGCAACGTTGGAGGCTTCCAGCTTTACCATAGATCAGAGAAAGGAAAGCAAGGCAGGAAGGAGTTTTTACGTTGGTCTGTCCCATGTTTCCAAAAGTTAAATGAAGACTGCTTGCTGACAGTATTTTTAAAGCTGCTACCGTAAATCTTACTTTAAAAAAAAAAAAAAAGCACAGATTTTTTAAATGCTGCTGATTCTCAGTGAGAGCTGAATGCTGACAAGTTACCTCTGAATTATAATAAATTGGGGAAGAGGATGTGATCAAATGGCATGTAGGAGTCTTCAGATTTATTAAAGATATGAAGATAGATGGATAGTAGATGACTCAGACTGCCATAAGACAAAGGTGCAAGTAGGAACACAAAACTGGAAATAAATGCTAGGAAAAACACCTGGGTTGTACAGAGGGAGCGAGTAAGGATGCAGAGGCGCTGCACAAGCTGTTTTGGTTTTAATCCAGCTACAGTTGCCCTGATGTAAAGAGCTTTGCACAAAAAACATTACTAAATTGGGGTGGAATAAGAAAGTTGTGGGGATAAAATAAATGACAGAATCTAGTAAGAATAGATTTATTTGATACGTGTTACCTCAGTGCAGTGGTTTTGTTGCGATCTCTGGCTTGGTGAATTGGGTAGGACAGTCAATTTTTCTTCCAGAAAACAACTCTCCTTTTATGAAGGGAGAAATGCCTTAATGGAAATGTCTTGATAGAGTCATAAAATGTCAAATCCACCCAAAGCCCACGGGGGTCTCTGCGCTGCCCTGCTGGGGTGCGGATATACTCACCCACCTCTCGCTGCTTGGTGAGCCCTGTGGCAGGGGTTGGCTGCCTTCTGCCGGCTCACCCCGGGCTCCGACCGCCCCAGCCTGGGGAAGAAGGCATTCCGATCCTCTCTGGTTTATTTAAAATCAAAGCTGGATAATAGGGAGTTTAATACAGCCTTGTACGTACCTAGTTTCCTCCTGTAGTTGCTTTTAGAGATCAGTGTTTGTTGGTTGTACTGGTTTATTGGGAGATGAGTTATTTCTACACAACAGTAGAAAAGCTTTGCCTTCACAGAGTCCTCCCATGTGGTCTCAGGAAGGAGAGGAACTAGGGAAAGGTGAAATGCAGCAGGTTTTTCTTAGGAGCTTGGTGTAGGAGCCAGAGGGGAGCGCTGCATCAGTAACAACAGCACTTACCTCCTTACAGGAAGGTAGCCGAGAAAAAGCCACATTCACAAGTGCCTGTAGAAGACCTCCACTCCTACAGCTGTGAATTCACCTTGGGTGCTGCCTGGTTTGGGACACAGTAGAAAAAAAAAAAGCACACCAACTGTATAAGTGAAGGTTTCCTCAACATGCAGGCAAAGAGGGGAGGTTCAGAAAGCAACTGCTCCACTCGAGTGGTTTGGGTGTTTGGCTGATTCTGGTCAGCCCTGATGGTGATGGCAGCGCAGCGGCTGTCATGCCAGGACCATCTCACCAGCTGTCTGTCAGATGGATTCTAAGAGAACTGCACAAGTTTATTGTGCTTGTCTTAGATATGCAGGAGTTTGCACCATCCCTTGAGGCTCTGCAGGGAGATGATTTGGAAAAGCTTCTGGGGATCTTGAACCTCGCTGTGCTTCAGTCTGTCCAAAAGCATTATATCGCCTGCTCAGTTGGCTAACGTGCCTGTGAATAAGTTATTCCCAAAAGGCTGTGTGTGAGGCAAGAGAAATGTTTAAATATTCCATGTCTTCTCCAAAAGGAGCTGACGGAGGTGGCATCTCCTTCCCAGCCTGTGTGACTCTTGTTTTCCATTGTCCAAGTAACCCAAACTTGTCCTTTGAGCGTTGCAAGGTGGAAAGAGCAAAACCCATGAGGGGAAGAGGTGCTGCAAAGCCTGGGAGGAAGGTGTTCAAATGGAGTCCAGAGCTTGGTGGACGTGTCTGCTGTCCCTGACTTCTGGGAGGTGGAGATGTGCTGAGGAGGGCATCACAGCTGGGGTTCAACCAGTTCCTGTGTCTCCATCTGCTGCCTGTGGAGAATGGCTAGGAGTACCATTTTCACTGAAATTGGACCTGAAATGTGGCGTGTGGGGCAGTAGTGCCCTCAGCTGGGGAATCCCTTGCTCTGGGACTTGCTGTGGTGGTTCCCATCTGGTCTCCCTATGTCCTCTTCCTTCCCTCTCTCTTCTGTCCAGTTCTCAACACCTTTTCCTCCCTCTGGCTCACATTTTTGCACGTCGTGTTTCTTCTCCCACTGTATGTGACTCTTGACCAGCTAATGTTTGAGCTTCTTGGTGTAGGGACCATGGACACAACTGTTTTGACTAAACCTATTTCTTATTCCAGAAGCACATGTGCTTTTATGGCACATTTAAAAGGTAGTGGTGAGGAGTAGAGGAAAGTCTTTAGCACAGGCATCTCCAAACAGACCCAGAAATCTGCATGAAAATGTTCTCTTTTTTTTTGTTCTTACCCCTGGGTGACACTTCAGTTCCATGCACAAAGTTCTTGTGAGGCTTCATTACCAAGTGGGATTTAATTGCTCTGTGGATGAGAATACCTCTCTGGATAGGAGAACACCGCTGTGTTTATTTAAACCTGTTGAAATGAGTTGAGGTGGAGGACAAGCCCATAGCTCTTCTCTCTTTGTGGTCTTCCTGTCAAGTTTGGGAGGAACCTAGTCTCTGCAGTAACTGGAGAGAAGGTGAGGATTTGCACCACTGCATGGGAATGTGAAGTCCCAGGTTCACCCCATATGACTTCTGGCTTTGAATTTGGCACAACGATGTTAGGAGGGGAGAGATGGAGAAACACCTTCAGGAGGCAATGCAGGTTTTGGGTAGGTCTGGCTGCTCTCTGGAGCACAGGGAGGGAAATCAGGCAAGTAAACATCTCCACTGAGCATCTCATTGACTGTCTTGATGTTCTGGGAGATGAATTGAGGCCCATGGAGTACTTGAGAGTCTCAGGCATTTTGTACTGGCTTTTCTATAAGCTTAGACAAGGCTGTACTCTGCTGTTATTTTATACTTCTCTGCCAGACGTGCTACTCTGAAGGTGGTAAAGAACTTTTTTAGAAGCAAAATAAACAAGAACATGAATTGAATGTCCAGCACAGCACTAATATTTAAGATTAGCAGCATTGCAGGATTCAGGATGCATGCGTATAGATGTTCTACCCTATTGTGCTTGAGTGTATATTCCTTAATTTCCGTCCCAGTCAAGCGTTCCTACTTCAGCCCTAGTTAGTGCGGTTCCTCAACCAGAGAGGTTTCGGTAAGCTGTATTTTCCTTTGTAAAGATAAAACAAAATAACCTGCAGAAATCAATTCTTTTTTCCAACCTAGCACACGTGTTGATCACCAGACATTGTGTAGCCTTTCATTCTGCAAGGGTGTATTCTCCTTTGTTTAACCGTAGTTTAATTAAAAAAAGTTTAACCATGCATCTTGCAAACGCCTGAGTGGATAATCTGACTGCAGAGATTATTCCCATGTGCTTCAGTGTCTCTGTTGGGAGTAAAGCTGCTGAGGTCCGATCCCAGCTTTCCTGCTCAATTCCCGACTTTGTGAGGGCACGAGGGGGATGCTTTGAATTTTGTCACAGAAGTAGTGGGTGGCTGTGGGCAGAGATGCCGCACAGCCACGGACACACTGTGCTGGCTCTGCTGTGACGTGGTAACACTGCACACCTGCAGAGTTGAGGTGGACATGCAAGTGGGGAGGGTGTCTCACCGATTCTCCCCAGCAGTTGCTGATCCCCCGCATGTCACCGTCTTCCTACCGGGTCTTGCTGGTGCTGCTCCCGTTGCTCTGCCGGCCCTATCACTGTGTTTCTCCTCTGTGCCTCAGCTACACCCTGGACAACGATGTCCTCACCACAGAGCAAAGGCAGTTCTACGAAGACAATGGGTATCTGCTCATTAAGAAGCTCGTTTCTGATGAAGACATTGAACGCTTCAGGTACGGGGTGCTTGCCTGAGGTGCTGGGGGGTCCTGTGTGCAGCAGCATCCCGAGGGAGCTCTGGGAAGCTGGGTGAAGCTGGGCTCTCTCCACACGGACGTTCCCTCTGCTTTGCAGGAAGGAGTTTGTGAGGATCTGCAAAAAAGAGGTGAATCTACCAGGAGCTATGATTATGAAAGACGAGTCCCTGAGATCCCAGTATGGTCAGTCTGAAAAAGTGGTTAACAAAGTGCAGGACTTCCAGGAAGATGAAGAGTTGTTCAGATACTGTACTCTGCCGGAGGTAAAATAAAAATATAGCAGCAAAAAGGGGGATGGTGGTGGAAAAGCCTATATGAATGTATCTATGTTTTAATGCCTATGCAAAGAAGCTTTTTGGTTCTGCTAAAGCTAGATCCTTTATGCCTTAGAGCCCCCGTATGTCACTCACATAGGTATATACGTGAGGAAGGAATATTAAGCCATATTTTAAGAGTGTTCTCTATGAACATGGGATGGATGGTGGTCAGGGCAGAAGACTTAAAGCAGTAGTCCTCTGGTCCTTTGGTGCGGAGCCAGTCAGGAATGTGACTAGCCCAAACTGTGTCTGGCTAGTAGGACAGATCAGCAACATTTTCTGTCTTTTATCTAAGCAAAGCATCTGTTCTCTGGGCAGGCCCAGCTTTGTAGCCAATATTCATGTTGTGGTGGAAAGCTGTAGCTTTGTGGAAGTATGACCCTCCTCATCTTTCCAACTCCACCCAGCAGCCTCCTGCACCATCTTCCGTCTTTGGCCTCCTACCACCATGTCCATTTGTGTGCCATGCCGGATCCTGTCTCCTGTCCTGCATCCCGCCATCCTGGCCTCCTCCTCCTATACCCTAGTCCTCAGCCAAACATCCAGGTCCCCAGTGCTTCCCCAGCAATCTTTGCTCTTCTTTTTCATGTTTCTAACATTTTTTTCCTAATGTTTTCTTCCCTGTAGGTCCTCAAATACGTTGAGTGCTTCACAGGGCCAAACATCATGGCAATGCACACCATGCTGATAAATAAACTTCCAGATTCTGGTAAGGAAAATTTGGGTAAGAGAAAAATAGAGAAATTGTTCTGTGTATGCTCTCTGTCTGGCCAAAATTGAACTTAGGGGTTTAGAAAAGCTGTTTGAATAAAGACAAATTGAACCCAAATAATTTTGAGAATTTATGAGGCTGCTTTGGTAACAGTTGGGGTTTTAACTTTGGCTTACTAAGATAACATTTCTTGTCTTTCAATGTTCAGTGGATGTTTGTTTGCTAAAGATGGTGATTGTCTTGGCTGCACCACTCACATGTTCGAAGCGGGCAAGCGAGCTCCCGATTCAGCCAGCCGCACTTGCCTAAAGGCCCAGGGTTTAAAAAATGACATGCTTTTTAAGCTTGACTTTTCAAATGTGTTGAAAACAAGTGCTTCTGTGGACGTCGGTAAAAGGCAATAAATACAGAGATCATCCTTTGCTTGGAGTTTATATACTCCTGACCTCAGTGACAGTTGTTGCACGCTCAGCGCTTTGGCATGAAGGTACTTGAATAGGTGCCAAAAAAAGGATTTTGAAGCTGGCTTTGGCTCCTGCTGCTGGAAATTGAGGATAATAATTTATACAGGGCTGATGGACAGGGAGAGAGGAAGAGAACAGAATTAACCATATTACAGTTTTTCAAAGTAGCTTTGACTCTGCATAAGCTGTTTCGGTTTAGTGAAGTTGAGACCTGAGCTATGTTTGTTATTGTCAGGTGTGCAGCTTCTGAGCAGATACACAGTACGCTGAGTTATTAAAATACTGAGTTTGTTCAAGTAATCTCCACTTGTCATCTTAAATACTCTGCAGAAAGCTGTGTCATTTTGGTTTGGAAATTCAACAGGAGACCATGCGTTTCTAAAGTAAAACCAAAACAATAACGGACAAGAAATTGGAAGCTGCTCCATATTTGCACGCTCTCCATTCAATATCTTTGACAAGTGCTTTAGGAGAGGTGCAGATCTCAGGAGAGTTTTCAAGGATGCCCAAAGTCTAAATAATATGGCAAATGACACAAGTGGAAACATCCTAACTGTATCTATTTAAGGAGCAAACTCAATGGCAAAATAAATATATAAATAATATATTAAAGGCTGTTTTGGTGTGGATGATAAGTTTCCATTTCCACAGTGGGGAAAAGAAGTAACAAACAAAACTTCAGAAACACATATTTTTGTTTAGACTTCATGGAAAAAAGCCTCTAGGGCGAAGGCTAGTAAGAGTGCTCGGTAGACTGTCTGGGGAGGTTGCAGTCCATAAATTGAGATTATTTTTTTAAAAAAGAAGGCTAAATAAACATATGTTGAGTGCAGCACAGACAGGGTTGATTCTGCTTGCAACACAGCGATAGATCAAGTGACTACAGACAGCACGGCTGTTTGAAAGTCTTTGTACTGGGAAAGGTTTGTGCAACATTGTGCTGGTTAAAGTTCACGAAACTGGAGAGCAGCCCAAGAGAATAGTGAAAACTTGGCAGGGGGTTGCTGGTGGTGAAGGCCAGAAGAAAGAGCCTTCTGAGGGGTCGCACAGCCCGGCAGCCTCCCAGCATTCACTGTGTCCCCGTGCCATTGCTGACCCAAGGGCCACCACTGTCCTCTCAGTCCCTCTTGGGATGGGGTGTAAACTAACCCGTTTGGCTTCCAAGCCAGAGGTGGGCTGGAGCAGACACTGAGTACACTGAGTCTCTCCAGTGGCAAACAACAGCTTCTTAAGACATGTTACAACAAGTGCAATGGTTTAACAGGAAGGAAAAGGCTGTGTCACTTTTGATGAGGTTGAAGGTTTTGAACCTGTGTTGCAGATAAACAGACTTTTCTCCACCCCATGCATCAGGACTTGCACTATTTCCCCTTCCGGCCTGCGGCCCGCATCGTCTGCTCCTGGACCGCCATGGAGAGGTCCGACCAGGACAATGGGTGCCTGGTCGTGCAGCCAGGGACGCACAAGGAGCCCCTGAAACCTCATGGCTATCCAGATTTGGAGGTAGAGCAGCATGGGGGGTTGGAAAGAGTATGCATGAGGGGATTGCGTTTTGGCTGGGGAGAGCTGACCATGGAGGGATAATGTGTAGGTCAAAGCTGAGATTTTCAGTGATGGTTTTTCTGTTTGTGCAAACACTGACTCAGTTTGCACCGCTCTGTGTAACTGGGGTAGATTTGTCTCTATTCCCACCTTCACCTAGAAATTATCCAGCATGTGGCAGAACAGTGTAAACACATGCAACCATTTTCCACTGCCCTTGCCAAGTCTGAGGACTCTTTCTCCTCCTGAGAATTTGTTCCTGCCTGGTGAGCATGTGTACTGTCCCGAAAAGGAGAAATTGGATAGTAAACAGCTGGATGCAATTAAATATCAAGCAGTATCTTCCTCTTAAGAACAGATATTTCCTGACCTGGCCTGATGTTGGTGATGGTTTATACTGGGAGCAGAAGGCTGGACCCCAGTGGTGGAATCAGGCTACACTTGTGGGATTCGCTTGTGCTCTTCTCTGTTCTCTCCAGCTGAGAAATGTTCTTAATTGTCTGAATCTAGCTGCAGAAAACAGAAAAAGTATTATTTAGCTGTACCTCAGGCATGAAGTAGGAAGGCTTGTAGGCAAGCAGGCAGGCTTTTAGTCGGGCGTACCAAATACGCTGCCCAGAGGAAAGCAGATCAGTAGCAGAGAGTTCCCTCACACTGAGAATCGGCACTTGCTCTAATTGTAACCGAGTGATTTCAACTCAGCCCTTTTTTTCTAGGGTAAAACCAACAAACTTTTCCATGGGCTGCTTGATGAGGATGAGAAGGCTCCCAGGGTTCACCTTGTCATGGAGAAGGGAGACACTGTGTTCTTCCATCCCCTGCTCATTCATGGCTCTGGGATAAACAAGACATCAGGGTTCCGAAAGGTAGGAAACCATCTCTTGGTATAGCTTTTGATATTTCTGATATTTTAAAACTGTTCAAACTATTTCCCCCACCCCTTTCCAAGCTTGTGAATATGTGGATGAACTTTTTAATGAGTTTTTAGCTTCCTGATATACTTTTACACTCTCTTTTTTTATTTTTAAACATCTCTGTCTTTTAGAGAAGAGCATGCTGGGGGGCTGCTTCAGAAAAACAAAGCAGGAGTAGAAATATGATGTTGAGTCTATGTTTGGAGCCTGGCTGGCTGTACTTGCTCTTTCTGATCGTTCCCTTTCAGGTGTCCCAAATATCAGGAGCTTTCTTCCCCCTGCCTTCTTGGTATCTCATCTCTGGATAGCACGAGCGTCCATCATCCAATAAATAATATTTATTTATATGATAAATATGACCCGTTTTTCTAGTAAAGATTTGATTACGCATCAACTATTTGTTTTGCATCACGATTATTTAGCTGAAACAGGCAAAAGTGCCCTACTTGGGGGGCCTGATCCTTCCTCAGAAGTGGATTCACCCAGGCGCATAAGGGAACCGTAGCCTCTGGTGTAGTTACTAGTAGCAATGCAGATATTTCCCCTCACGCACTGCGACACAGGCTGCTCTATTCTTATTTTGTTTTGCCTGCATCAACTACTATACAGCCTGTCCTTTCAGCCCCAGTAGCAGTTTACTGGTGTGGAATTCCTTCCTCCTGCAATCCTGAAAGCAGAGAGAGGGGACATCAGGTACTGAGAGTCTTATCTGCTGGCTGTGTCCTGGCTACTGGAGCAGTAGTGTGGTTTTGTATTCCGCAGAAACACAAAAGCTTCCTCGTACTGTGCCAAATCCCAACATCTTGGGGTAAATAGGTGACTCTCCTGGAGCTCTCCGAGCCACGTTATGGTCCAGCGCCCTTTGAGATCTGGCTTGCAGCTGGTGGGGCATTTCTATTTATTTCCTCTAGCCTCTGCTTAAGCAAGGACTGATTACAAAACGAGTGGGTTGATGTGGCTGTCTGGGTGCAGAAAGTAAGAACCCTTACTGAACACACAGCTCTGCTCCCGCCCTGGCTTTCCCTATTCCCACTCTAGTTGCTGGTATTCTGAGATCAAGTAGCACAGTTCGTGCTGGGGGAGTGTTTGGGAGAGGAGGGAAGGAAGAAGAGCATGTCAGCAAGCAAGAGTATTTCGCCAGCAAGGGAATTTCTCCAAGGGGACACTCAGGAGAAGAGCAGGACTGCTCGGAAGGGAAGAAGGAATTTGGTGTGTAAGGGAGGGGTGGGGTGTCCGCAAGCCGGGATGCACAAGATTTTTTTTCCACCAGTCATTTGTGACCGCTGTGGTAAGCGATGCCCGATTTCCTCACACAGAGCATAAGCTGTCACTTTGCCAGCTCAGAGTGCTACTACATTGATGTCAAGAACACGACCCAAGAGGACCTGGAGAAAGAACTGGTAGAAATGGTTCACAAGAAATACAACGCGACTTCCGTGGAACTCAGGGTAAGACTTGGCTATAAGACCTTTGTTACAATCCAGGTCAGTTCCCTTTCCTAAGTCTCTCTCGTGTGACAGATTTGTGCTTTTTGGTGTGTCCAGTTTGGCAGATCAGGCTGTGCCAAGCAGAGGTGCCTGGCAGAACAAAAGACCCGATGTTCAGAGGATGACCGGCAGGCTTTTTTGGGGGCTTTTTTGCTCCTAAGGCTACTTCTTGCTGTGCTAGAGAAGCGGCCTTGCTCTCTGGGCAGCCCCTTCACGTCCTTTGAGCTCTAGAAGTTCCTCCTCCAGCTCTGCTTGTCAAAATGGGTTTTGTGAGCACTCCTTGGTGTCCCTTCCACTGTCGGCTGAGCTGGTGCAGATTAGAGCAGCAGTTCATTGTGCGACTGCGACTGATGTTGTAGAATAAGTGAGAAGGAGCTGTGGACTCTGCTGTTGTGGTGGCTCGGCTCTGAGGCTGCTCACGTCCACTTCTTACACCATTCGAGGGGGTCTAGACTTCACCTCCGTGGGTAGCAGTGGGGAGGGCTAACGTGGCAAGGCAGGGATAAGGTGAAGTCTACGCAAGCTTTGCCCTTCACTGCATCTCCTGGTTCATGGTTTGTTGTGGGGAGCGTGTCCGAACCAGAGCTCTTTGCAGTTATATTTGGACTACACAATGTAAACAGGCAGATGGGGTCGTGTTTTGCCCTGAATTCGCAAGTATAAAGAGGTGCGGTACGTTCAGTGCCCGTCCAGTTTGTATGTCTACAGTTCTTACCGTTTCCCCTCCTAACGGCAGGTGGGTTTTCCTTTTAAAACAAGTAGCCACATCTGACTGCAATAGTAGACTGATTTTTTTTTTTGGTTAAATGTAACCCCACATCAATTGTTTAGGCTTGAGGCTACAGCAGGTATGTCAGCAGCAATATACATCTGCCTCGAGGAAAAAAAAAAAAAAAGAAAGGGGTAATGGACTCTTGCTGAATAACTGGAACCGTTGTGTAAAATAGAAAGCAAATCTAAATTCTTTAGGGATTCAGCAGCTGAAAGAAAAATAAACTTTGCTACTGGGGTGGAAATGTTCTGAATTTCTTAATCCACAGTGGTTCCCAAATGCCTGCACAGTCACTATCAAGGCAGTAAGTCTAGATGTAACAGGCATCAATTTTCTTTTAAAATTTACATACTGTACAGGCATTACAATATCAAGTGCATTCTGGAGGAGAGGACTTTTTTTCGTCTTTGGTGGTTTTGTTTTGTTTTGTTTTGTTTTTTTCCCCACAGTGTGCCTGGGTAAGGTGGGGTGTCCAGCTGTGTTTTGCGAGCCTGATCTTACATGTTGTCTGTAAAGTTACAGCTTGCTGGACTTTTGATCCCTGGAGTTATTTAGGTGCACAGTGAAATCCAAAGTGATGCGTAGTAAGGCTCTCCTCATGAGTGGAAATAAATCATAAAGTCATAGAATCGTTTAGGTTGGAAAAGACCTTTATGAGCATTGAGTCCAACTGTTAACATAGCACTGCCAAGTCCACCACTACACCACATCCCTAAGTGCCTCATCTACCCGTCTTTTAAAACCCTCCAGGGATGGCGACTCAACCTCTTCCCTGGGCAGCCTGTTCCAATGCTTGACAACTCTTTTGGTGAAGAAATTTTTCCTTATCCAATGTAAACCTCCCCTGGTGCAACTTGAGGCCATTTCCTCTTGTCCTATGGCCTGTTACTTGGGAGAAGAGACCGAACCCCACCTCTCTACAACCTCCTTTCAGGTAGAGAGATAAGGTCTCCCCTCAGCTTCCTTTTCTCCAGGCTGAACAACCCCAGTTCCCTCAGCTGCTCCTCATAAGACTTGTGCTCCAAACCCCTCACCAGCTTCGTTGTTCTTCTTTTGAGTGTAGAAGCCTCAGAAGAGTCTGTGTGTTTTCATATAGCTTTAAGCTTTTTTTAACCAGAGTTGGAGCTTTCTCCCAGAGGTGTGCCCAGTTCTTATATTTCACTTTCTCAAGACTAATGATAAGAACTAAGTAATCCTCACACAGGAAACTGAGGTAGGCACTTGCCCAAGACTTACCTCCATGAAGCAAACAGTGGTGGTCTTCTCTGCTTTACAGTCTGCAGCAATCCCTGCCCAGGACCCAATTTCTGGCTAAGGGCTTGTGTTCGTATCCATTATTTCCTGCTGGTTTCTGCTGCACAAGGAGTATCACTTGCTCATGGGCAGCAGTATGCAAGCTGTAGTCATCTGGTGAGCTTTTTTGACCACCCAAAGGCATACGAGGGAAACGTGTGCACAAGCAGGCGAGGAAGGTGACTTCTGCAAGGGTGATGTTCTCTGCGCTGCTCATGTTTCCTCTTCTACCTTCCAGAATTGAACTATGAGCACCTTGGCGTTCGTGAAACAACCCGCAAACAACCTGTCTCCTGGGGGTAGAGGTTGCACCTCTTCTTTAGTTTGGGCTGTATTTTTGTTCTTGATATTTAGGATTTGAAACGATATTCAGTAAGTGGTTTTGGTATGTTTATGTGGGTAGTTAGCTAACCCTCCAGGGATGGCGACTCAACCTCTTCCCTGGGCAGCCTGTTCCAATGCTTGACAGCTCTTTTGGTGGAGAAATTTTTCCTTATCCAATGTAAACCTCCCCTGGTGCAACTTGAGGCCATTTCCTCTTGTCCTATGGCCTGTTACTTGGGAGAAGAGACCGAACCCCACCTCTCTACAACCTCCTTTCAGCTAGAGAGATAAGGTCTCCCCTCAGCTTCCTTTTCTCCAGGCGGAACAACCCCAGTTCCCTCAGCTGCTCCTCATAAGACTTGTGCTCCAAACCCCTCACCAGCTTCGTTGCTCTTCTTTTGAGTGTAGAAGCCTCAGAAGAGTCTGTGTGTTTTCATATAGCTTTAAGCTTTTTTTAACCAGAGTTGGAGCTTTCTCCCAGAGGTGTGCCCAGTTCTTATATTTCACTTTCTCAAGACTAATGATAAGAACTAAGTAATCCTCACACAGGAAACTGAGGTAGGCACTTGCCCAAGACTTACCTCCATGAAGCAAACAGTGGTGGTCTTCTCTGCTTTACAGTCTGCAGCAATCCCTGCCCAGGACCCAATTTCTGGCTAAGGGCTTGTGTTCGTATCCATTATTTCCTGCTGGTTTCTGCTGCACAAGGAGTATCACTTGCTCATGGGCAGCAGTATGCAAGCTGTAGTCATCTGGTGAGCTTTTTTGACCACCCAAAGGCATACGAGGGAAACGTGTGCACAAGCAGGCGAGGAAGGTGACTTCTGCAAGGGTGATGTTCTCTGCGCTGCTCATGTTTCCTCTTCTACCTTCCAGAATTGAACTATGAGCACCTTGGCGTTCGTGAAACAACCCGCAAACAACCTGTCTCCTGGGGGTAGAGGTTGCACCTCTTCTTTAGTTTGGGCTGTATTTTTGTTCTTGATATTTAGGATTTGAAACGATATTCAGTAAGTGGTTTTGGTATGTTTATGTGGGTAGTTAGCTAAGCTGAGAATGCTGTACCTATTTCCATCTCTGTAAAAGGGAGTCCTGGTCACCATTGTTGCTGGCCCTTAAGGCTTTTTCTTTGTCTCATTTTTGTTTTGAAGGATATTTGGAACTTCCGAGCACGGCTTGTGCAAGGGGAAAGAATTAACCTGTAGAACAACCTCTGAAGAACAGGATGGAAAACACGTGCCTGAGAAGTGCTTCTCTGATCGGAGAGTGCAGACCCTGCATCGGCAGGCAGAATTATGTGTGCTTTGTTGACCTCTGCATTGGTAACTTAGCCAAATGCTGCATCTCAAAATCATTTTATGCTAATACAAAGTAATTGCACTGAGGTTGAACAGCTGATGTACGTTAAAGAAAACCTAGCCTAGGAAAACAGAGATTTGCTGTGGTTATCGTAGACAATTGAAGAATGAAGGTCTTGAAAGAACACTTTGATTTTTTTTCTTGATGTTTTCATTCTTGTTTTTTAGAAGTTTCTCACATGATGTACCTTTGGAATGATGCTATACTAACATAAGATTTTATGCAAGAATTTATGCAAGGGTATGTTTTTTAACATTTCCAACTTCCTTTTCTATGCAAAAGAAACAAAATGAATCAGTGTTTCACACAAGCCCTTAGTATGAGCTCACGTAGGAAGCTATTAGTACAGCTGATGAAGATGAGGATATTGGTACCAGCAGAACCAACGGTGTAAACAACTGGGTAAAGAGGAAGCAGCAACCACTCACATGGAAAAATGGGATCGATGGGCTGCAACGTGATCACTAGTAGAGTTCTTCAAACATGACCTGCTATGGCGTCATATCTTACGAGCAGCGCGGGCACAAGTGAAGTATGTGGCTGACAGGGTTGAGAGCTAATGGGCCAGCAAACCAGCCTCCTGTTGGCCTTGCACAACCGATTTGAGGCTGTGTGAGATGAGGGGGGAGTCCTTTGTTTGAGTCTGGCGGGTCTGGGAAAAGGTTCTAGGTCAGGGAGATGGTTGGATGCTCCCCAGGATGCAGCGGTGGCGGGTTGAAGCAATGTGCACTGAAATGATCCTCTCACCTTTCACAATGTGTTTCCTTGCTTTCTGAAAGGTTCTTTTGCTTTCAGAATCTATTTTTTGAAATACAGATTTAATCAGAGCAAAACCGTATCCGAGGGCTGTGTTGTATTATTTCTGCCACTCAGAAATGCTGGTGGTGGGTGCGTGATTGAATACCCCAGTGCAAAACATCAATCCTCAGCTCTTTTCCACTCCCTCCTTCTGCCCAAAGAAAGTGCCAAAACAGCGCCAAAGGCTGCACTGACGGCTCTCATGGCTCCTTCTGCTCTGTTATCCTGCAGCTCAGGAGGTCACGGGAGATCAGGTGCAGCCCTATCCTTGATCCACAAGGCTAAAAATCTTCCCCCTGGGCACTGCCTGAACAAGCTGCTGCAAGTCAAAGCTGTTGCAGTCATTTCATGCATGACAACTGAATGCAAAAGAGGGTTTTCCACTTCTTCCTCTTCCTGCAGCGTCTGTAGGTTTTCTTGTTTGTTTGTGTGCTTTTTAAACAACGTGAGGTTTGAGCACAGTTATTGCATTGGTCCTAAACCCTTGGTGGTGGGGTGAAGTGTCTGGGCTGTGGTTCCTACTTGGAGACAGACATATCCTCTTGGTAGTCTCTGGTTTGACCACAACACCAAGAAGTCTGATGAGGGGAAGACTTTAGGACAGACCCACAGCCCTGCTCCATGGGTCATCTTGAGCATCCTGGTTCCTGCATCTCTTCCCGTGCCCTCTATATAACCCTGGCACTGATCCTGCTCTTGGAGACATGTGCCATGATGCCTCTCCAGGCTTGGACCTTCTCAGCCTGCCCTTTGCTTGCTGTATGGGTCCAAGTGAATGATTTCCAGTGAGTTGGAGGCTCCTCTATTGACTTTGCCAAGCTCTGGCTCACAGCATAGCCGGTGCTTTCCTTGGGCTTTTTGTGAGGATGTAAAATACCCCATCTGGTTCACAACACAGGATTCATGGAGAAACTCCCCTGTCTGGCGTTACTGGTGTAGCTGAGCTGACTGCAGAGGGAGCTGTGACCACAGAGAAGAGCTACAGGTGTCCCAGAATTTCCAGGCTCTGAATTTCTCTTACTACAGCTGTGAAAGAGAAGGAAAGGACAAACTCCAGGTTTGTTTTTAAAAATTTGCACATCTCTGCCTATGGATTTACGCTTAAATTTGTTCTTTCAGAAGAACAAACCCATCAAAGCCCTCACAGACCATCTAAACTCTGCAGTTGTCCCACCTGGTGAGAGGCTCGTGCCCTCACTCCTTCTTATAACAACAGGTCAAGGATACTCCAGAGCTTGGGGAGGACTAAGCTTAGGCAAGGTCCCCTCGACTGTGTGCAAGGCCAGCTCAGCTGCATCCAAGCAATGCCGAGGAGTCTGATCCCTGGGCAGAGACAGACCCAGCGAGGCTTCTAGGTTCCTTCTCAGCAAAGCTACCCGCTTTGGAGCGTGTACCGTTATCCTGGGAGAATAAGGATCCACAAGAACTTCTCTACAGGATATTTAGGCAAGGAGTGGAATCCAAAGGATGCTTCATCACTTCATGTAAATGTGACCTATGTGAGGGATCTACCTGGTAGGTGCTTTCTTGTTCCTGTTCCCACCCATCCCAGCCAGCAGACAGTCCGCAACCGCAGGTTTCCAAAGCACGTGCCCCACCAGTGGAGATTCACAGCTAGAAATTCATCTCAGTCTCCAGCACTTTGCTTTCTAGGTGAAAAAACAAAACCACAACCATGTATCTCTTAGGGTTTGGTTTCCTGGTGGTACAGTGCAGCTGACTGGGGCATGTCAGGTGCATGACTGCAGAGTGAGCTTATCAGCTTTCAGGTCCAAAATCCCTCTTCTATGAATTACCACCACAGCAGCAGGAAGGGGATGGGGAGAGGAAAAGCAATAATTAGCCAAGTCATCTGCTGCTCCAAGCTTAATTTTTTTCCAGGGGGAAACCTCCCCGGCGTGCAATAGCCCCGTGAAGAACAAGTTGCAAACCCAAGTGCTGTTCCCAAACGCACTGTCCATCCCCCAGTGATTTTTGCAATCCTAAATTATTGAGCTATTTCCATCTGAAAGGGGACTTTTTTGCTATCCTGTGAAAGGCTCGTGAAAAAAAGCAAGAGGCCTGGCAAGAGAAGGATGATGTTCAGCCGGTGGCCCTCCACCTTTTTTGGAGCCAGAAGAGACTGCTGACCCCAGTTTGTAATGAGCACGTGCTGCATTCAATCCACTCCTGGTCCTTCCAGGAAGAGCTATACGTCCACCTTCCCTCCCACAGCGTGTCTTGACCCGCGGGCTGTGAAGTTGGCCCAGAGTGAGGGGAAAGATGAAGGGACAACAAATTCGAGCAGGACAAACCCCACCTTTCAGCACTGTCTGTTTCACAGTGTAGAGCTTGAGGGAAAAGTGAGGATGAACTGATTGTCACGCTGATGGCACAAACTGGTCTGAATCATGACATGGTGGGGCTGAAGTCCACTTTGCGGGAGCAGTGAGGCTCTATGGTGTGGTGGCAACAGGGGACATGGGCAAAGATGTCAAAAATCGTCTTCTGAACTGCTGTGGGTCTGTTATGGATCCATATTCAATCTCAATGTTTATCCCCTCTCAGATATCACTCACAGAGTTAATGTAGGCAGATGAGAGTACTGAGTGCACTGCCAAGGACAGCGTACATTGAATGTATCATTTTTAAGCATGTCACAACTTGAGAAGAGTACAAGATTTCTGCAGCCTGTGTTTGCAGTTCCCCATTGGTAAGCTAGCTTCACTTTCCTTCTCTCCCTACTCCAGGATTTCCCCTCCAGGCTTTTTCTTCCCCAGCAGGGTGAGGAGGATAGGAGCTATTGCACTGTTTAACTTGGCAAACGTCCCGTGCCAGCACGGATGCGATGTGTGACCGAGCGCACCAGGCGCTGGGTTCCGCATTCTTGTTGGCCATGTCCTCGCAGCCATCACAGCAGCTGAGAGTGAGCAGAGTACAGGAAAGGGAGCGTGTAGAAGCATGCTTGAACTTTCCCCACCTACTTTCCAGCCTCTAGCCACAAGCCCTCCTGCTCCCAAACCTTCCTGTTCCTTCACTCCTGCCCCTCGCCCAGCCAGGGTGGTGAGACTCACAGCTTCTTGAGAGGCTCCTGGGCACGCACAGGCATCAGCACATGCGCAGGGGAGGTGAAGAGGAGCAAACAGCACCCAGGGACTGTCATCTTGATGCTGCCCATGTTGTGATTGGGCTCCACCCTGAGCACTGTGCGGACTTTATAAGTGCTGGGCAGTGAGCTGGGCTCTTGGTGACATCTCCTCATTGTCAAAGTCATCATGTAAAATCCAAACCCAACCACTCGGCTGGATGCTGTCCTACGGCACTTATCTCCACGTCTGGTTGCAGCGCCTGCTCCTGTGTCCATTCTGATCTGGGGCTGGGGTGGAAAGGGAGGAGGATGAGTGGAAAGCAACAGCGGTCTCCACATCAGCTGTGTCGTGACCTAGATAGCACAAGGCATAGTCTTCCTCCAGAGCCTGAAATGGGGCATAGAGGATCCTGGAGGTGTTTCTTGGATGCTTGATGTAAGAAAGCAAAGAGAACTTGGTATGAACTTGGTATGCCCAACCTCCTCTCTCACCATCTGAAAGGCATTAATGGAGAAAAAGCCGCATTCACAATTGCCTTTGCTCTTACACCTGTGAATTCGTCTGCAGCTCTGAACTGAGTTGGGAGGAAAAGCAGTGTTTGAACCTGGTGTCTTGCCTCAAACGGCAAGCGCACAAGGAAACTCACCTGCTGTGTTATTTGGGTTTGACTTTCCCAGGTCGATGTCTGTCTTTTTCTTGCATGGCCAGGGTGAGGGGGTTGTATGGAGAAGTCTGGATTTCCTGGCTCCTTTGCGGGTTTTTGTTGAAGGAGTTTATCCTGAAGAGTGCAGGAACCAGGAGGAGAGATGGATTTTAAAAACTGAAAATGCCTTGTAGAACAAAGGCTTTCTTTCTTTTTTTTTTTTTTAATTTGACAATGTTCCCCAGCGTCCTATGAACAATAAATTAAGTTAGTTGAATCTTGAACCTTGCTGTGCCAGTCTCTCCAAAAGCATTTGCTTGCTTCTGAGTGTACCCAA